CAGGCACCTCTTCAATATAAACACATCTCTCATGCAGACACCTCTCTAATGTGGACACCTTTCTAATACAGGCACCTCTTCAATATAAACACATCTCTCATGCAGACACCTCTCTAATATGAACACATCTCTTAAGCAGACACCTGTCTAATGTGGACACCTTTCTAATACAGGCACCTCTTCAATATAAACACATCTCTCATGCAGACACCTCTCTAATGTGAACACATCTCTAATACAGGCACCTCTCCAATATAAACACATCTCTCATGCAGACACCTCTCTAATGTGGACACCTTTCTAATACAGGTACCTCTTCAATATAAACACATCTCTCATGCAGACACCTCTCTAATGTGGACACCTTTCTAATACAGGCGCCTCTTCAATATAAACACATCTCTCATGCAGACACCTCTCTAATATGAACACATCTCTTAAGCAGACACCTCTCTAATGTGGACACCTCTCTAATACAGGCACCTCTCCAATATAAACACATCTCTCATGCAGACACCTCTCTAATGTGGACACCTTTCTAATACAGGCACCTCTTCAATATAAACACATCTCTCATGCAGACACCTCTCTAATGTGGACACCTTTCTAATACAGGCACCTCTTCAATATAAACACATCTCTCATGCAGACACCTCTCTAATATGAACACATCTCTTAAGCAGACACCTCTCTAATGTGGACACCTCTCTAATGCAGGCACCTCTTCAATATAAACACATCTCTCATGCAGACACCTCTTCAATATAAACACGTCTCTCATGCAGACACCTCTCTAATGTGGACACCTCTCTAATGCAGGCACCTCTCTAATATGAACACCTCTCTAATACAGGCACCTCTCCAATATGAACACATCTCTTATGCAGACACCTCTCTAATGTGGACACCTCTCTCATGCAGACACCTCTCTAATATAGACACCTCTCTAATACAGGCACCTCTCTAATATGAACACATCTCTAATACAGGCACCTCTTCAATATGAACACATCTCTCATGCAGACACCTCTCTAATGTGGACACCTCTCTAATACAGGCACCTCTTTAATATCAACAAATATCTCATGCAGACACCTCTCTAATGTGGACATCTTTCTAATGCAGACACCTCTCTAATGTGGACATCTCTCTAATGCAGACACCTCTCTAATATGAACACCTCTCTCATGCTGACACCTCCCTAATGTGGACTGCACCTCTTTCATGCAGATACTCTCTAATGTGGACACCTCGCTAATACAAACACCTTTCTAATACGAACACCTCTCTCGTGCAGACACCTCTCTAATACAGACACTTCTCTAATGCAGGCACCTCTCTAACATGGACACCTCTTAAGTCAGAAACTTCTCTAACAGGAGGCCTCTCTCATATGGACACCTCTCTGGTATGGATTCCTCTCTAATGTGGACATCTCTCTAATAAGGACATCATTCTAATGCATGCACCTAATACGAAAATATATACACGTCTCTAATATATACACGTCTCTAATATATATGTCTCTAATATGGACATCTCAGTCTATACTATGGACACTATTCTATTACAGATACATCTTTAATGCAGATATCTCTCTAACACAAACACCTCTCTAAACTACAACTCCCTAATACATACAACTCTCTAATACGGAAACCTTGCTAATACGGAAACCTCTCTAATATGAACAACTCTCTAATATGAACATCTCTAATATGAGCATCTCTCTAATACTGACACCTCTCTAATACTGACACCTCTCTAATATGAACATCTTTCTAATACAGATCTCTATAATACGAATACCTCTCTAATATGAACACCTCTCTGATACGAACATTTCTCCAATACTGACACCTCTCTAATATGAACATCTCTCTAATACTGACACCTCTCTAATATGAACATCTCTCCAATACAGTCCTCTATAATACGAATACCTCTCTAATGTGAACACCTCTCTGATACGAACATTTCTCCAATACTGACACCTCTCTAATATGAACATCTCTCTAATACTGACACCTCTCTAATATGAACAGCTCTCTAATGCAGACCTCTATAATACGAATACCTCTCTAATATAAACACCTCTCTAATGCGAACTTCTCTTTAATGCGGATATCTCCCTGACAGAAACACCTCGTTTTAACACAGACACCTTTCTAACATGGCCATCTCTCTAATACGGACATCTCTCTAACACAAACACCTCTCTGAACCTACAACAATATAATAGTAGAGTTATGCTGATTTTTACAGTACTTCATTTATTTAGGCCTTGGAGTACACCCAGTCTATGGATAAACTAGGCAGTGTCATAATACCAAGTGATGAAGTTACTAAGGTGGGAGGTCTCTATCTTGGTGGTTATAGACCGTCAATTAACAGACAGTTTCTGCAAAGCCAGCATATTACACATATTCTTAATGCTGCCGCAGGATTGGTGAACTTTTTTGGACCAAAATATGAGGTAAGAAACTACGGATACCTGAAATTTACAAGGAGAAATTCGAGGTTTCGAGCGAAGGCCTTTCGTCGTTTGCTGTATAACTTCCCGTCGAAGGAACTTCGCTCGAAACGTCGAATAGGCAATACCAGTTATAGACGAAATTTTGATTCAATCATAAACCTATTAGGGATTGCTATAGACGATGAATTAAAGTTTGTGAAACACATTAGAGATATATGTAGTAAGGGAGGGAAAAAGGTGGGGGTACTTATGAGGTTCAGGAACTTGATACCGACTGAAGCCAAATTAAGAATCTTTAAAGCTTTTATACTACCCCAAATAACCTACTGTCACATAGTATGGCATCACTGTTTGTCATCAGACAGAAGGAAAATAGAGCCATTACAAGAGCGAGCACTTAGGGCCATATATTGTGATAGGAGCAGCTCGTATGAAGATCTCTTAAGGAAAGGCAAACTTCCTACATTGTACAATCGTAGACTCCAGGACATAGCCATAGTTATGTATAAAGTGAACAATAATCTAGCACCCTCTGATGTATGTAATCTTTTCAAACACAACACCAGCAATTACAATCTTAGGAATGTAAGTGATTTCTCCATACCTAGATTTAACACGGTTACGTATGGGAAACACAGCTTGAGGTATATGGGCCCGTTCATTTGGTCAAAGATCCATAAGTCCATAAAAACGGCTATATCCTTAGATACGTTTAAAAGACACATACGGCAAATGGATATAGCCGACTTAATTTCCAATAGTTGTACTAATTGCTATTTATGCAACAATTAATCGACACTAATTATAGATATTTGTTATAATATATTTATTCTGTTTATATAGTTAATAGTAGTTAATATAGGTAGGTGTCCCCAATTAGTTTCTTTGTAAACTAGAATTTATTTGACACAATAATAAAGTTTTTGATTGATTGATTGATTGATTGATCTCTGCTAGAAGAACAAAAACCATTACCATTTACCACAGCTAGAAAGAGCATGTCAAAATTAGTAAAATTGCAAAGTTTGGCCGCGAAATGTTGTAAAATGAGGAAAATATAGCCCTGCAAAATTTGCAAATTTTGTATTAATTTGTATTACGCCCTACCAACGAAAGCTTGTTAACAGTCACAACTGGCCATTTGACATCTGTGAAAATTTCTCAGAAAAAAATGCATGGGATAGAAAATACAGCATGCACATGTATTGGACAGAGAATTATGAACAGCGTGGCCATGCTCATGATGATTTTTTGCAAAAGATTTCCGTCAATACAGAAGATAAACTTTTTAAATATACTTACCACATAATTAATATAAACAGAGATACCCTTAAGAAACATTAGAAAATTTACTGTCCCTAAATGTAATACAGTCAGACTGTTTTAAAAACTCTTCGTTTATAAATATTACAACTAGTCGCTATACAGGGTGTCTCAAAAAAACCCAAAATCATTGAAATTGACGTATTGTTCGATATTCAATGCCCTAGCACTAAGTTAATCCCACGAGTGCATAAAAGATTGACATAACTGCTATAATGAATGGTAATACTCAGCGTAAACCTGTTATGTCAGGCATAAAGTACTAAACCCACGAATGCATATTACGCATATTACAATTTACGAAGCATTTTTAAATTCCCATGAGCAAACAAACGTTCACTTTACAAAGATATTTTAATTTTTTAAAACAAATTAATCACCCTGTCAAAATCCTTTGTGTTACGGCATTGAAATTCGAACAATACGTTATTTCAATGATTTTGGTTTTTTTTGAGACACTCTGTACAGGGTGTATAAGAAAAAAGGTAATCGAACTTTAGCGCGCTATTTTATCTGAATTACTCTGCGTATGAACGAGATTTTTTCACATTCGGAAAGATCATGCTTTTAGCTGTTGAATGATATCTTCTTCATGCCAAATGGATAAAAAGTGAGCAAATACGAATCCGATAAAAAATGTTAGTCAGAATCGCATGTTTTCACCATTGAAAATGAACCCCTTTTAGGACTTAAGTTGATGAATTTCACTTCATTAAACTGCACACATATTCATATTTATTATTAAGTAGGAATAAATCTTAGCTAACGTTCGTGATTAATTGCTTTTTCTTTTGTTATGCATTGTTTTAATTAGGCACAGAGGTGAAAATATGCGATTTTGACTAACATTTTTAATCGGCCTCATACATGCTTATTTTTTCTTCACTTGGCATGAAAAGCATGTCATTCAATAGCTAAAAGCCTGATCTTTCCGAATATGAAAACCAATTGTTCATACGCCGAGTAATTCACGTATAATAGCGCGCTGAAGTTCGATTACCTTTTTTTTATACACCCTGTATAATGCGTTTTATTGTAAATAGCAAATAATTTTTGTAAATAGTTAAAAAAATCTTCTTAACTGTAAACCTTATCAATTCAGTATACACTACAAGTCAAGGTATTGAATAAAACCATATATCTATCTACCTACTGTTACACTCGCTTTGCCTCGAAAAGACAAAATTCAAATTGTTGTTGTTCAGTGATTTATAGAGTATACAATGTTTTTTACTTTCTTTTCATTTTTTACTCGCATTAGAATTCAGTCAAAACAATCGTCAGTGAGCTGAATATTGAATATCTCACATTATTCTGGGACGATGATGCCGAGTTTGAGATCCCCATTGATGATGTCATGAAAGGATTATCGTTTATCCATAATGGCCGAACAAATGGAAATGTATTGGTTCACTGTGCTCAGGTGAGATGCATGCATTTTGTGGGATTATGAATCAAAACTATTGCTAGATATAGCCCTCAGCTTCCTATTCGACATAATCATCTATCCCGCGAAGAGTTGTATTTATGGGAACTATTATCACGAGTCCACGACTAACTTTTTCACCCTTAATTCATATATTAAATGTCATTTTTGTATGTCATGTGCGTAAATATTTTAGGGAAAATCTCGTTCATCAACTATGGTCGTGGCTTATATTATGGCATTTATGAAACTTTCTTGGGAGAAAGCGTTAGAACTTGTTCAAGAAAGAAGGAAAATGGCGCAACCAAATCCAGGTTTCTTAAAACTGTTAGCACGCCTTAACAGTGAAGACAAATTTATTAATTTTAGTAAAGAATTAGGTAGCCACGACGAATAATAAATTATAATCCAATCGTATCAATTGCATGCATCAATCGCCACATTATATAAGTCCAGGGCTGCAAATAAATATTTCTTTAGGACAGGACATATATCTGACCAATTTCCAATTTGGCCCTACATAACTCAACTTTGGTCGAGCACATCATTTTGTAGTTGTTACGTGCTTATATGATTTGTTATTTAACTTCACAACTTTCTTTAAGCAGTAAAAAGCTTCCTAAAATTTATTTTAAATTCAAAAAAGGAAGAGGTTTTCCAGCTTGTACAAAAAATAAATTAATTGTTGAATTACAAAGCAATTAAATACGAACTGTAGTCAGTATTAACATTAAATAGCAAAGGTAAATATCATGTGTTCGATTGCGAAAGTAAGCATATCATTTACTATTAAGAATGTTGATAACTCGAGTGAAAGAATTTCCCAATAAACATGATATCGCATGCAGAGTGTCTTCATGGCCACCCATCAGACAATAGATAGCTTAAGATCTACGACGTCGACGTCAGCTAGGACGTCAGGGCTAAACAGATGACTGGGACTAGGATGTCGTCCTAAATAAGTAGATAGAGAGTTTAAGATCTACGACGCGGCCGGCTCAACGACGCGCTTGCGAAAGAAAGAAATTTGTCATGCAAGACAAAAACTGAATAATTTGTGGTCCCAGGGGTATTCTCAACGGCTTTGTCATGCTCAGCAGAACGTTAAACTAAGCATTATCACGTCTTTCAAGCAACGCGAAGCTTATGGCGACCCATGAGGTGATACTTAAACTTGAAATTACAGCAAACATTGCATCGCTTTAGTCAAACTTAGCAGTTTGTAATGTTAAACATGTATTACAGTAACGAAATTGCTTAGCGTTCATTTTTAGCTGAAATTCAGACCGCGTCGTTGAGCCGGCCGCGTCGTAGATCTTAAACTCTCTGATAGCTAAATATCTACGACGTCAAATATTTAGGGCGACAAGCGGAATAAAATTGGTAATAGTTTTTGAAGTGTGCATGTATCTCTCTCAATTTGCTCGTCGTCCACCAAACGTGGACAACCTCACAACAAGAGTTTTACCGTCGTGGATACAAGAGCATAGCAAACGGTTCTGAATTCATGTGTCTCTTTAAAATTATTTTGAAAAGAATGTAAATATTTATAGTTTAAATGTCGACGTCGTGAATCTTAAGAGGAAATTTATTTATTTATTTAGGACGACGTCATAGTCCCAGTCCTCTGCTTAGCCCTGACGTCCTAGCTGACGTCGACGTCGTAGATCTTAAGCTATCTAATATATTTTATTCGACGGAGATTATGTCCAATCAAAATTTGGTTTGTTCTGACATTTGCCAAATTTGGTTGCACATTGTCCGATGTCCTACGGTAATTTGCAGACCAATTTGGAATTTCAAACGATTGCGTATCTAACTTTTAGCAATTATTGGTTAAGGTGGTAAAGCATGATGTCGAGAATTATTAAGGCCTACGTGATCTTACCAATATGAAACCTATAGGTTCTTGATAATTCTCGATTATTGGATTAAAATGTGTATATAGTATTTATCTCAGCAAAACAACTATACATTATACTCGTAACCTAATGCATCATAATTTCGACAATGAAACCATAATAAAAATCATTATAAAATAATGTCTAGCAGTGATGATAATGTCTCAAAAAGTACTGAAAAAGCTTCATACTCAATCGAAAAATTGGTACCAAAAATGATTTTAGCACTACTAACTGATGAACATGAAACCACGTTTAATTTGGTTCTGTTTGAGCCAGCAAGATGCATACTACTTCGGCATTATTCCACGTTGGCCAAATTTAGCAAATTTTCTCCTATACTTGAGCGGGGTCGTATTGTCAGCGGACACCTTGCACAAAATTGCCAGCTCTGTGTAAAATGCAAAGTTTTCAATTTTTCACCGCAAGTCCGCTGGAAATACGAGCCTGTTGTACTGGGAGAAAATTTGCTGACTGAGACCACTGAGTATTGGTATTGGCTTTAAATTACAAAAATATTTCCATTGTGTCTAATATGCTGAATGTTTCCATGTACATATTTCAATGTCCAAGCAATATTTTTTAAATTGGTACCTAAAATCGTCGTTTTGAATCGAATTGAATTGTATTGTCGTGTCTATTGTGTTTTCTTCGAATTTCGTAAAGAATGTTTTCTTTCACTTGTGAATAAAATCGCTTCCTGTGCTTCCACTTTCTTCTCGTATTTCTCCTTCGCTTTTGCGACACGCACCCACTTTGGTTGACTGTTTACAAACCATGTGATAAATAGGGCGGACAGAATAAGGAAGTGTTCAAATGCAAAGACCCAAGCGACTATGTACCTACACAGACAAATAAAGATTCTTCTCTGTAATTTGCTGTTTCAATTTTTGGAATGAAATGAATGCTAAAAAAGCTATTCAAAAACAGCATTCACACTCAAGTGAAGCTCATTTTAGAATACGGGCGTAAATGTTTCGGAAATACGAATTTGCTGAAACTTCCAAGGGGTGAAGTTTATGACATGCTCATAGTAAAAAACGGGAAAAAATCGGGTGAAGTTTATGATATGCTCATAGGAAAAAACGGAAAAAATCTTGTTTCGGACATATGACAAGTGCAATATACCACCTTTTCTCCCATATGGCGTCAACTTGAACCTCTAATCAGAAGCCAAAAATAAATTGAAAAACACAACTACCTTCCATATCCCTCTTTGATATACTGATCTCCTTCAATAGTTTTATACATCCATGGTAACCACTCAGCAAGCTGTTCTGACGAGAATCCCATTATAACTGTATTGGTTAACATTGATACCGCAACCATACACCACAGCACATTGAACCATACACCAATATCACACGTTCTACAAAAGATAAATACCCGGGGCTTGTTTATTTAGACACATCTGAGAGAGACAGAGACTTATTGAGGAGAGAGGGCATTTAAGAGGGGACACAAGATACAAGATCGGCCATTGCGCCACAAATGGCCACCTAAGATGAGTTGCCTCATCTTCACAGAGCATGCGTAGATCAGGGCTCATCCTAAGAAAATTTTAGATCTGCCCATTTGAGGACAATGCATGAGAACACATTTTGAGGCAGTGGCGAAGCATGAAGTGACTGATGGTGTATTGGACTTCTGAATAACAAGGAGATCCAGCGGCATGCTTCCCCAGAAAATTCTTACTTTTGGAAGTTGGCCACTTGGTCAGAGGAAATTTGCTTATGTTATTGCCTAATACCTTTGTATCAATGACAAAAACTGAACTACAGAATTGCCATTTTAAGTTTCCATTTAAAACTACCCTTTACATTTACAGTAGAACTGCCAATTTTAGAAAATAGAAGGCCTTAGGATGATTACCGACGTAGATCGCAAATACTGACGTGTACTGAATATTAATCAGCTTTGTCAACAAGATGTCTTCGCACTGCTTGTTCCCAGTTGTTGACAAGTCTGGAATAAGTTGCTATCATCTAGTAACAAGATTGATGAGGACAACAGACTCACAACAAGTTGTTCCAACAAGTCTAATATCGTCTGCACGCAACAACTTGTTAACAAATTGATGACAACAAGCTCGTAGCAACTTGTTACGAACAGCCTGTATTAGTCTTGCTGGAACAACTTGTAGCAAGTCTGCTACGGTCATCACCCTTGGTGATAACAACCTTGTAACAAGGTGATAACAACTTGTTCCAGACTTGTCACAACAATGGACCATTTGCATTATAGACTAAATTTTGATCTAGACAAAAATTTCATCGCAGCTTGAAAGAGCATCACAAAATTAGTAATATTCCAAAGTTTCGTTACGAAATGTTGAAAAATGCGGATAATATAGCCTTGGGAAATTTGCAATTTTCAGTCATTTTGTATTACAAACGGGAAATTGATGCCCCAACACCCGATTGGGCTGTCAATTTCCCATGCGTAATACAAAATGACTGAAAAACGGCAAACTTCGCAAGGCTATATTATCCGCATTTTACAACATTTCGCAATGAAACTTTGGAATATTACTAATTTTGTGATGCTCTTTCAAGCTGTGATGAAATTTTTGTTTAGATCAAAATTTAGTCTATAATGCAAATGGTCCATTGGGAACAAGCAGTGCGAATCCATTATGACAACGGCTTTACAACAACCTTGTTACAATTTGTTTGCAGATCTGTAACAACTTGCGCGTTTTACACCGTGTGCACGTGCACTGCTGCAGTTTAGCACGTGACGAGGAGATTGTCGCTATTTCACACCAACTCGCGTTTTTCGAGCAACTTTTTCACAAAATATAACCGATATAATTTACCTTACGACTTTGGGCCTTTGATAAATGAAGAGAAGCTTGAACATGTCTGAACGGCTTTCGATGAGCAGAAATATGACACCAACAGCAGAAGCCAATGGAAAAGCGGACGCAAACAAGGTAACATACTGAAATTAAAAAAAAAATTGAGTTAAAACTTAAATGAAATTAAAGGAGCAAGAAGGGCTGCCAAAAGACAAGTGAGTAAGGGACCGGTCATTATTTATGGCGGGGGTGGCACCGAAGAGAAAAGGGTTGGGTAAACAAAATTTTGAGCGAGTAAAAGGTTGGGTAAATGAAAAAGAAAACAACTCAAGCGTTGGGTAATAAAAATTTATTGTCATTTCCAAAGCATGACTCACTGAAATATTGGAGACCAAGAAGCACTGTCAACAGTCATATGTCAATATAATATGTGAATCAATCGGAGTCACTATCTTGATAATATTCCGATATGTTGAGAGACAGATGGTGCCTCAAAAGAAAGTACATGTGCAGACAACATGAAATTTTAGACTGCAGAAAATTGCACAAGCAGTTATCAAACTCATGTCACAGAAGTGGTAAAGGACATGTGTGACAACTGAATGGTATCCGTTTGTAAAGTTTTTTTTGCCAGGGGTGGGTATTTATTTTTTAATCGATATTTGAGGTTGGGTAATCAAATTTTTGGCTTTTTAATGGTTGGGTCGGCAAAATTTTTGCCACAAAAAACATTTCTCTTCGGTGCCACCCCCAACCATAAATAATGACCGGTCCCTAAATGCAGCTTAACCTGATCGAGTGGAAGGCTTTCTGAAGGCGCCTCTGGCAACCACCCTATGGCTGATCAACCACCTCGTATCTGACCACGGAGCACAGCTAAAGTGGAAGAAT